TCCAAATTGATGATGCACTTGAGCCCACTCTCAGGCTAAATCTGGTCATCTCCTACAGTTTGTAAAATAGTAAGCATCTTTATAATAATGCAGCGTCATAGAATCACATGGGTGGAAGAAACCTTATTGATCTTTTAGTCCAACCCTCTGCCAAAGGCAGGCGTCTTTATAGCATTCTGGACAAATGGTTGTCCAATCTCTTCTTGGAAACCTCCAGTGATGGAATACAACTCCAGGAGACAAGCTCTTCCATTAATTAATTGTTCTCACTGTCAGGACATTCCTCCTTATTTCCAGGTTGGATCTCCCTCTGACAAGCTTCCATCCATTGCTTCTTGTCTTTCCCTTAGGTGCTTTGGAGAACAAATTGACTCCTTCTCTCCTTCAAGTATTGGAAGAGAGCTGTCATGTCACCCCAAGCCTTGTTTTTATTAGGCTAAACAAACCTAGTTCTCTTAGCTGCTTATTATAGGGTTTAAACTCCAGGCCCTTTATAATTTTAGTTGCTCTCTTCTGTACTCTTTCTAAGGCCTCAGCATCTTTTTTTGTATCATGGTGACCAGAATTGGACACAGTACTCCAAGTGTGGTCTCACCAGTGCAGTATTATCACTTCTCATGATCTTGGATGCTATCCCTTTGTTGATTTTTTGCAGCTACTACACACTGCTGGCTCATACTTAAAGCTGTGGTCCACATGGACACTTCGATCCTTCTCAGAATTGCTACTGGTGACCAAGTGCTGCCTATTCTATACCTATGCATTTGGTTTTTCATGGTTAAGTACAGGACCTTACTTTTCTCACCACTTTCATCTTGGGCCAATGCTCAAGTCTATCAAGATCCTTCTGAATCTTGAGTATCTTCCAAAGTGTTAGCAATTCCCCCCAGCTTGGTGTCATCTGCAAAGTTGATACTACCCCTTCTATCCTCATACCCAGGTCATTTGTGTCAGAAGAATCTAACCTGGAGGTGTTACATATAATATAGTTCTTCTTACCCAGACTAACCATGATTCTGCTTTTCAATTGGATAGTGGACATTTGAATGGGAGTGAAATACTTTGACAATAACAAAGTAATTGATTATATTCTATGTGATATTTTGAACTGCATTCTCATTAAATGTGGAAAAGATGATAATACACAGCTTCATTATTGTCATTCTATTGTCTTAGAAAAATATTCTAAGAATGTTCAGTTGGGGTTCCTTGTCAAAGCAGAGGGAGAGTTTCAAATAGGACAAAGCAAAGGGAGATTTCAAATAGACTTTTCTCCTGAGCCTTGCAATTTTCTGCATATTCACAAATGACGTTAAGATGTGGAATGAATTGTTACAGATTTACAGATGAGATAAAACTTATAAAAACATGGTTTCTGATAACTTCATGTCATCTGCTTGGCAATAGGACAGAAAGATATATTTTGTCTTTGGTTCCTTTCAAGGTTTTTTGGGGAGAGGGGGGTCTGATTTCCCCCTTTTTATATACCTGCTAATTTACAAAGTTCTCTTTATTTCATTTCCTTTTCTAATATAATAATTTTAGGGTACCACAAAAATGTTTTAATGAAGTGTTCATTATTCTGTCTTTAAATTTTGCATACCAAATTGAGACATATTGATAACAAGTATTAATGGTGACTAATTGTGCACTTTTTTCTCAAGGTTTAATGGCCATATCTAATAATGTAGTTATGATCTAAGGCAGCAACCTCATAGCACTGTGATGTAACAGCCTGACAGTCACTCCTTTTGCAATGTAAGGTTTATTTTTGTATCTTTCCAGAGACAGAAAGAACATGGGCGAATTTCCTTACAGTTATTCCCTGGGGGTGTGGGGTGGGGAATGGGGAGAAGGAGGGAGGAAGGGAGGCATGAGAGAGAGAGAGAGAGAGAGAGAGAGAGAGAGAGAGAGAGAGAGATGAAAGGGAGGGAGGGAGAGAAAGAAAGAGAGATGAGATGAAAGAGGGAGAGAGGGAGAGGGAGAAAGAGAGAGATGGCGGAGAGGGAAGGAGAGAGAAAGAGAGATGAGAGAAAGGGAGGGAGAGAAAGTGAGAAAGAGAGATGGGAGAGGGAGATAGAGAAAGAAAGTTGAGGGAGAGGGAGATAGAGAGCAAGAAAGAGATGGGGAGGGGGAGGGAGAGGGCAGGGGTGGGATTCTATCAATTCTGACCGGTTCTATAGAACCCATTGTTAACTTTCTAAGCAGTTCGGAGAACCGATAGTTAGAAGAAATCTCCTTTTGTTTTTTTCCACCCTTATTACATTCTTGGCAGTATGCCTAGACTTACTTTCTCCGAAGGAGGTTTATTTCCTTTCCTGATACTTTTTTAAAGGGGAAGGGTTGTTTCAAGATTTTTACACTGCTGTTGGGAGGAAATATTCCCCTGGAAATACTTCCAGCTGGCATGCAATAATCAGCACTTTGAAGAAATAATTGCATAACAAAGCAGAGCTGTGGAAAGAAGCTTTTTAATGACAAGGAACCAAGATGAATGACATTCAGCAAGGTTTCTTGGCTAGCTAGTAAGATTGACATTCAAATGCGAGTTTACATACCCTTTCTGAGTTTTGGTCTAAAACTAGTTTTTGGTGAAGTTTAATTCTTGCTTGGTGACGTTTAATGCTGTGTTTATTGATGGGATAATTTTCCCTTATTCAGCTTTGTTTGGAAGGAAAAAGATTAATCTCTGTTCCTGAAAAGAAACTGGGTTGAGAAATCTGGCTAGTTCCTGTGCCTATTTGTTCTGGTAACTGGTTTAACAAGCAACAGCTACTGTTGTGATTAATTATTTGTATTGTGTTTGAATTTTTTCTTGCCTCATGGTTTCTTTTTCTATCTGGGAAGGGGGTCTTCCTTCACTGCTTTAGTGGTATCTGGCACTGTCCTTTTGGGGTGTACTTCCAAGAGGCAGGATGCAAGCTTGGCACTGATTATTTTACTGCCTTTCTGGGGGGCATGTGACCTTTCCTTAAATCTGGATGATTTCCTTAGGATATCTTGTGAGATGAGTGAGACCAGCTGGTATCTTTAAGTGGTGCAAATGGATCTAAGGATTGCTTTTCCTGGGTGTGCTCTTTCTTAAATGACCTCTCTGCCAAAGGGTTTCACTTTATGAGCAAGAGTTGGCTGCTGATAGTTATCATGGCATTTTAACTATTTTAATTCCTCAAGGTGCTCTGGCACCCTGCCTGATTTGTAACTCCGGCTTCCAGGTATTTTTAATCTAATGATTGGTATTAGGGCAGCTTTTTGCAAGCAAAGAAGCTTTTTGTATTTTTCTATGGGTAATCCTTGATTTACACCAGTTCATTTAGTGACCATTCAAAGTTACAATGGCACTGAAAAAAGTGACTTATGACTGTTTTTCACACTTACGACTGTTGCAGCATCCCACTGTCATGAGAGGCCGGGCGAGCAGAAGCGCCCCTTGATGTGAGTGACATCAAGTTGGCCATGCCCACCCAGTCACATAACCACCAAGCCACATCCAACTAAGCCACACCCACAGAACCGGTTGTTAAAAAATTTGAATCCCACCCCTGGGAGAAGGAGCTAGAGATAGAGAGGGAGAAAGAGAGAGATGGGAGAGAGAGGGCGGGGAGAAAGAGAGATGAGAGAGGGGGAGAGAGGGAGGGAGGGAGAGAGAAAGAAAGAGAGAAAGATGAAAAGGAGGGAGGGAGGAAGAGTGAGATAGAGAGAGGGAGAAAGGGAGAGAAAGAGAGAGATGGGAGAGGGAGAGGGAGAGAGAACTGTTTCCCATAGAAAACACCGAGAGCCACAAAACCTGGGTAGGCGTGGCTGGGGGAGTCATGTGACTCGGTGGGAGTCAGTGACATTGAGTTGGCCATACCCACCTAGGTTTTGTGGCTCCTGGTGTTTTGTTTTCTGTGGGAAATGGATCCAAATGCTGTTTAAGTGTTTAAGGTTGCAAACCCCTGGCCTGGAGAAAGACATCATGAACAGTGGCATGTTGACATCAAAATGAGTACTTGGTGTTTCATGATATTTTGCAAAGAGCTGCAATTTAGCACAAGTTAGTTACAATAATTGATGAGGTGCATAACTCATGGCATTGCATGTGATTATTTGCCTTCCTTCAGGCACCCACGATTCTGACTGACACATGACAATACTGTTGTAATACCTGAGGGCTGCCAAATGGAATAAAGCAATCCTAGATCTAATGTATGTGGTATGTTGCAAAAAAGAGCAGAAACTGCTTGATGATAAGATCATTTCCATGCCTAGTAGAGTTTTTTAAATATTAGAGGATGCTGTAGTTGTTGGAATTTGTTGGAACTAGTTAATGACATGACCACTTTTGGATCCTGAAAAATCTATGAATTTAGATCACAGATCTGCTGGAATCTTTTATGATATCCTACAGTATGAAGTGGTGGGGATTATAGCTAAAACAGAGACTGCTAGCTCTTACCGTACCTCAATTTTATATTAATCATAAGAAAGGGCTTTCTGGTGATTTTTTTTTTTACAAAAGAATATAATACTTCCGTAACTGTGAACCAGAGTTATATAAACATTGAATTAAGCAGCTGTGTTGAAAATAACCTTAATGCAACAATAATAAACGTGTAAGTTTCATTATAACCCTATAATAGTGGTGTTAATGTGCTTTAGGCTGTCATTTGCAATCTGTAGTGCATACCTCTGCTGCTTTATGTATAAAAATAAGAGTGACTGAGAGTCATAGTTTCTTAATGTCTTATATTGCTTTCTAGTTCCATGTCCGATACATGAAAGAACAGCCTGTAATACGGTACCAAAGGCTGATGCAATAGACTGACACCTTTTAGATTTCTGGCCCCCAAAGATGAATGTGGCAGACCAGCATTGACCTGGTAGTCCTGAGCAACAGCTCCAAGTAAGGGAGTGGAAGAGGAGGCCCTTCCTGCTGCTGGTGGTACTACTGTGAAACTTTGTAGCGTGTGGAGCACCTCGTCGTGATGGCCACTGATGGATTTCTTTCTCTCTCTTAGGCTAATGGAGGCTGGCAAGATGCTACGACTCCTTCGTCTGTGACATCCCCCACAGAAGGCCCTGGCAGCGTTCACTCTGATACCTCCAACTGATCTCCTAGCAATCCAGTATCCCCGGCTGCTCCTACCCTGTACCAGGCAGAGGTGGGGACAGAGAGGGGAGAGTTTTTTTCTCCTGTTGATGCCAGCAGGCTGGATTCCGAGCTGACTGGCCCACCCAACAGGAGTCTCCTTCTCTTCTCTCTTTGGGGATGCTTTTTCAGCCAGTCTGGACACTTCTTTATACTCTCTTCCCTTTCTTTTCTGGGTAGAAGCCACCTTTTCTTTCGCCATCACCATTGCCTGTCCTCTCACAGCAAAATAATAATCAGAAGAAGAAAAAAATCTGAAAGCATTTGTACTTTTTATGTTGTTGCTGTTGTTGTCGTTATTGTTGTTTTTATCCCAGTGTCAGTCCCTCCAGCCTACCAGATATCTGATTGCTTCCTCCCATTTCTCTGGTGTTCTCACTACCTCTTTTCAGGAGCCATCTAAGCTCTTCCCTTGGCTTTTGGGCACCATACTTCTTTCATACGAGACAATGATCTGTTCCTTTAAGATCCCGAATCTTTGGTGAGTTGCCTTCCAGGACAATCTGTTACAGGTTGGATAAATGCAATCCGGGTGCTGCAAGATATGGCTGAAACCAGAGGTGGTATTCAGCAGGTTCTGATCAGTTCTGGAGAACCGGTAGCAGAAATTTTGAGGATCAGAGAGCTGGCAAATACCACCTCTGACTGAAGATTTTACAGTATCCTTCCCCTGCCACGCCCACCAAGCCACGCCCACAGAACCAGTAGTAAAAATATTTGAATCCCACCACTGGCTGAAACACGCCACATGGCTGAAACACACCACATGGTTACAAGATAGGAAAATGTTAGCAAAGCTACTCTTTACCATCCCTTCATGTTTCTTATCCACCCTAGACATGAACTTCTCAATTTGGTCCACACTTTCAGTGGAACTGTAATTAGGGATGTGTGCATCCTTTTTCATGAAGAAAATGCATAGTTGCTTCGTATAACATGATGCAAGTACAGTAAATCTGGGTAGTAAATGATCTTTTCCCAATTTGGGTTCTACAAATCACATTTTGCTGATGCAGAAAAGACTTTCACATTTTCATTTGAAAAGAAAACCATGCAAGAACAGAGCAATAAAGACCTGTGCATGGCACTGTGGTCTTCAGTCTTACACCCTCTGATTTCTCAGCTTTATCCAAGCATCATGTGCCTGGATGCGTCATAAACCTTAGGTATTCAGAAAGGGAGGGAGGTTATATTCACAATAAAGCTGACGAAATTGCAAAATACCCATAGCTTTCATTACATTCCTAATTTACCAATATCTGTTACACAAAGAAAGAAATCACTGGGAAATTACTTCCAAGCTGCTAGAATATACAACTTGCACTAGTAAACATTTGGACCTGTGTGGTTTTACATATTATAATTTGGTTATACATCCTTGCTAAAATTGTGGTGTTGCCCTAATTGTGAAAAAAAATAGATTGACCACTTCTAAACAAAACTTTTCCTACTAGAAAAAACAGTAAAATTGATGAGTGGGATGAGATGGGAAGAAGATAAATAAACAACTATTGGAATTGAATATTGAAAAATACATATTTTGCATGGTGGCCTTAAAACAATTGCCTGCGCGCTCTAACACATTTCTCCAGAATCAGATGAATTGGGTTGCCTCCTAATCTTAACCTGAGCACTGATCTCCTTTCAGCAAAGCATATTCAGGGGAACATCTAATGGATTGACTGTGTCTTTCGTGAGGGATCTTAATAGAATGGCATAAAATGACCTAAGCTGATCTGGGTTTAGTGATGCCATATAAAAGTATCAGGCACCATGTTTAAGAACAGTGGCCGCTGGTACATTCTCTGTCCAGGGCGATGATGATATTGCAGGGTATCACACTGTAAACTTCCTTGGCTGTAATTGTTATTATTCCATCCTTTCAATTGAAAAGGGCTTTTTTTCATTTAGGGTCATTGTGAATTCAAACTGATAAATAATCCAGATTAATTAACACAGATTACAAATAAATCTGTGAACAACATTAGCAACATTGTTTGGAAGGGATGCCGAGACCTTGAAGCTTTTTATGAGAAATCCATGGCTCTCTTGGTCCATCAGCTCTTGATAATCTGCATATACCCAGAATTAAATCCAAGTAAATTGGAGGCACTGTAGATTTAGTGGACAGACTAATGTTTCATAATTTTATTGTGATGATTGATTTGAGCAAAGGACTCACTTTTCAAAGCAACCTGTCCACCCTATGAGTGAATCTGCCAGAATGAGTTCATATGGGTTTTGGGACTCTCTTAGCAAATGCAATAGCCATAAGGAGCTCTTCCAGTTGCTAAGCATGTTAGAAAGGGTCTCAAAAGGGACATGAAGCATCTCTGCAGCATGAAGCAACTGAAGGCAAAATAGCAGCCACCTCTCACAGGCCTAGCGTGCCTTTTAAACTAGGATTAATTTAAAGAAAAAGGCAAAAGCAAGAAGCAAATACTAGCAAAGAGGTTAAAGCCATAGTATCTACACAGTATTTGTAATGAGATGGAAATGAGGAAGGAGATTGCAGAAGTAGGTAGAGGTGGCGTTTGGTGGGCGATGTCTTATGGACAAAATACAGTTGACCACATCAAAAGTGTATATTTAAGTTTAGTACATGAGGGGAAAATAATAGATAGCATTGCTTAGGGTTTGGATGAAATAAACCTTTGCCAAATGTTACATGCACCAGATGCACCAGATTTTGGCCACACAAATGCAGACACCATAACAAAGAATTGGAATTTGGTTTCTCTGCTGCCATCTAGTGATCATGTGGATTCATGCAGCCAAGATGAGTTATCCTTGATGAAGGTCAGTGTGCATGGATTTGAATATTTGTTTAATGTAATTAAGTGTAATTAGGTTAGTTGCAATTAATTACATTAATTGTGTGATCTTTATCTAATGTGTCTATCGGCAACTTTCATAGAGACCATTATGTTGCTGTGATAAATGAAAATATGACATAGTCTCCTTGAAAACAGATTTTATTCAACTTCCGTTTATAGAGAGTGTTGTGCCGTGTTATTTATTAACTTCATTTCAAACTATTACCTGGACTGTGCAATTTGCATGGCAGACTACAATTGTCTGGGAGGGGAAAAAGAGATGGAACTGCATTTATCTGCCTGTAACAATATATCTTTCTATTATGGTCTGTCATGGTATGGTACTGAACTTCTTAATGGTACATACACTGGTAGTAATTCTTTGCATATCCGGATTTACTATTTTTATTATAATTATGTAATACTGATATTTTTGCTTAACTGTGAGCTACCTTCTCATGGATTTGGTTCTTTATTTTCTGCCCAGAAAAACCCAACTTCGATACCAAAAACAAAAAAAATAAAAAAAGTGCAGAAACATTAAAAAAAAGAATCCTAAAAAAGTTTAAAAAAAATTAAACCATTCAATTCTTTCAGCTTTATTAACATTTTCCATTGTTTCTTGCGATTTGTGTCTCGTTCTTTGTAGTATTGATGATGATGAACATTTGATAATGAATGTTCTTGTATATTCAGATAAAAGAAAAACAAACCAAAAAGCAGTCTGAATTTAATAGTGTTTATAAAAATAAAAAGTTACCCTCATAGCACGCATCAAAGGACAGGCAGTCCCCATCCTGTCCTGTGGCAAAAAGAGCTTCATACCTGTATAGTTTTTAACAACAAGTTACCTACATTTGCCCTTCTTTGGTTTCCATTTTTAATGCATTTGTGAATTAGTTCAAGAATGGTAGACAAGTGTAGAGTTGTGCACATTCATTTCCTGTTACACAATGTTTTAAAAGAAGTGACAGTAATTCATTTTGTAAAACTTTTAACAATGGTTGGAATAGTGAGCATAATAGGTACACTTAATACTTTGTTTACTAACTTTGAATGCCAGAAGTGACATTTTCATTATCTTCTGCATAAATTTTAAAAGGGGCTTTTATTTTAGGCCCAATCCACTGGTAAATTCTCCAGCATAAGCCTCCCCTGAAACAAATGGAAGCTATGCAAGGGCTTTTGCTGTGCAGCTCCAGTTTTTTTCGACAAGGCTTATGCAGGATACTAGACTCATCTCATTTATGTTTATCTCTCTCTTTCTCTCTCTTTTTCTCTCTCTTTTTTGTCAAACTATGGCCTTGAAAATATATTTTCCAATTCCCTTCTTAAATTTTTATTGCCTTTAAAGTGATGTGAAAAGCTTCTTTAGCTAACAGAAAAAAGATAAATTATTTTCCCTTAAATGTGCTTAGTTTATATAAAATCAATACTCTTGTTTATTGGTCTGATGCCAATAAAATGTGTTAGGACTAGAGATCCTAAAATTTGTAACCAGAATAACCAATATCTCATGAAGCATAATTGGTAGGTGGAAAACTGCCTCTGGCTCAAGGCTGGAAATAAGACCTCAAATGATGAGCAAGGTACCTGAAATACTCAACTTCTTGAAATTTATCTAACCTCCATTCTCACCTGGCTTGCTTGCTAGTAATGGTGAACTAAACTTTCTGAGGACTCCCACCTGGGGATGTCTGGCTGCTTGGTTTTCCTGAACAGTTTTGAGAAGGCTAGAGAAGATCCACACCAACTTTCTCTGTGGAATATGAGGACGTAGAACATTGCTTCTACTGCCCACCAGGTTGCCACCAGGTGATAAGCAGCGTGTGCCAAGATGCAAGATTTGTGCCCTTTTTAAGAAAAGATGATTTGACCTACTGTGGTGGCACAATAGAATACAGTATTGAAGGCTAACTCTGCCCACTGCCAGAAGTTCACTTCTGACTGGCTCAAGGTTAACTTTAGCCTACCATCCTCCCGAGTTTGATAAAATGAAGACCCAGATTGTTAGAGGCAATATGCTGACTTTGGAAACTGCCCAGAGGATGCTGTAAAACACTATGGGCAGTATATAACTTCAAGTGCTATTGCTATTGCTACACAGGAAATTATAAGTAGTAGGGTGTAGGGTTACTGTTTGCTGCTTGCCAAGATAGCAGGGGGAGGGGAGAGGTACTCATTGACAGTTGCCTGGTCAGTGCAACAGTTATGTTCTTTATGAAGTGAAAGTGCTAATTCTTTTTGCCACATCCGATCTTCCTTGCCACCACCAGATAATGTGAACCAGCATTCTGCTCTATTGCTTGTAACTTCCCTCCCTTCCCCATGTCCTGGTTTTCTGTGCAAAAGTAAGCCCCAGGACCCACTTGGGGTATTAACCAAAGCTGCTGATCTGCCAGCTGCTCCCCAGTCATGCCTGTATTTAGAAAGGAGAACCAAGAGTGGTAGGCAAGCATATTGGAAATCACTAGGCAAAGGGTGTCCCCTTGTGCCATCAATCATCACTTCCAGGCTGTACCACCTGCCCACCAAGAAAATGCTCATAAAAGGCAGTCATATGTTTAAAATACTATCTAGTCAGATCTCTTTATTGGTACTATATTTTTAAGATTAAACAGTAGATGAAATGTACTATTTCATCCTGTCTTCTTAAATACTTATCTAAATGACTTTCTGGGAGATGCTCGTCAATCTTAATTCAAGGACAACCTTGGTCCACAATTG